TAGTTAGTAACTCTGAGCAAAAACCTACTTTGAATAAATTCAATAAAATTGAATTCCCGCTAAAGGTTATTTTGTACATTTCACTTTTAAGCTGTTACTTTCTCATAGAATCTAAGATACTATTAAGAAATGAAATGAAATAAATCTATGTCTGCAAAAGGTATGGTCGTGTATGTGTGTGTCTATGTAATGGTGGGGGCTGTAGATAGAAGCAACCACTCATACAGCAACCCATCTCAAAAGCTTTTATATACTTTACTGTCGTTCCGCTAATATTCTAACAGCACGGTAATCCCTGGCCTCAACCATACCATTCAACTGTGGTAACTCCTAGAACCCTCTAATCAGGATGAAGAATTTCAACTTCACCCTGTAGTTCCTTTATGACTGCACTGTCTTTGCCTCTTTTCCTTACTTCTACTTTTCCCTTTGTAACAAAACAATCTGGACTTTTATTCTGTAGCAAAACCTCTAGTCTCTATAGGTGAGCTGGCATTTTCCATCTGTGGCTGTCCTAAACCCCTAAACTCTTTCAGTCAGTAGCCAGTACTCTCTTTTCCAGGATAGCTCTGCTCCTAGCCCTTTTTCTGTTATCAGTCTGACACAAGCTGTACCTTTATTTCTCTTAAAGCTGCAATTGTTTTGAATTATCTTCAGCAAAATTTTACTTACAAGTGATACTAATGATGTTGGTCAATGATTTCCACATTCTGTTGGATCACCTTTCTTTGGAATGGGCAAAAATATGGATCTCTTCCAGCTGGTTGGCTAGGCAGCTGTCTTCCAAGATTTCTTGGCATAGACAAATGAGTGCTTCCAGAATTGCATCTGTTTGTTAAAACACTTCAACTGGTATTCCAATCAGCTCCTGGAGCCTTGTTTTTCACCAATGTCATCAGTACAGCCTGGACTTCCTCCTTCAGTATTGTTGGTTCTTGATCATATGCTACCTCCTGAAATGGCTGAACTTTCACTAATTCTTTTAGGTATAATGACTCTGTGTATTCCTTCCATCTTCTCTGGTTGCATCCTGAGTCATTCAGTATTTTCCCAAGGAATCCTTCAATATTGCACCTTGAGGCTTGGATTTTTTCCCTCAGTTCTTTCAGCTTGAGAAATGCCAAGTTTGTTCTTCCCTTGTGGTTTTCTAACTCCAGATCTTTGCACATTTTACTATAATGCTTTACTCTGTTCTCGAGCTGCCCTTTGAAATCTCTGTTCAGCTCTCCTATGTGATCATTTCTTCCATTTGCTTTAGCTACTCTACATTTAAGAGTAATTTTCAGTCTCTCCTGTCATCCATTTTGGTCTTTTCTTTCTTTCCTGTCTTTTTAATGATCTTTTTGCTTTCTTCATGTATGATGTCCTTCCACAACTTGTCTGGTCTTCAGTCATTAGTATCAATGCATCGAATCTATTCTTCAGATGGTCTCTAAATTCAGGTGGGATATACTCAAGGTTGCACTTTGGCTCCGTGGACTTATTTTAATTTTCTTCAGCTTCAACCTGAACTTGCATACGAGCAATTAATGGTCTGTTCCATAGTCAGTCCCTGGCCTTGTTCTGACTGATGATATTGAGCTTCTCCATTATCTCTTTCCACAGATGTAGTCGATTTGATTCCTGTGTATTCCATCTGGCGAGGTCCAAGTGTATAGTCCCTGTTTACGTTGTTGAAAAAAGGTATTTGCAATAAATAAATTGTTGGTCTTGTAAAATTCTATCATGCGATCTCTTGCATCCTTTCTATCAACAAAGCCATATTTTCCAACTATGGATCCTTCTTTGTTCCAATCACCAGTAATTATCAATGTATCTTGATTGTATGTCTGATCAATTTTAGACTGCAGACGTTGGTAAAAATCTTCAGTTCTTCATCTTTGGCCTTAGTGGTTGGTGAGTAAATTTGAATAACAGTCATATAAAGTGGTCTTCCTTGTAGGTGTATGGATATTATCCTATCACTGACAACATTGTACTTCAGGATAGATCTTGAAATATTTGACGATAAATGCGATATCATTCCTCTTCAATTTGTCATTCCC